GGTTCAAGCGATTCCTCTGCCTCAGCCTTCAGAGTAGCTGGGATTACAGGCATGTGCCACCACACCCGGCTAATTTTTGTATTTTTAGTAGAGACAGGGTTTCACCATGTTGGCCAGGCTGGTCTCAAACTCCTGACTTCAACTGTGATCCACCCACCTCAGCCTCCTAAAGTGCCGGGATTACAGGTGTGAGCCACCGTGCCTGGCCTAAAAACTTACTTTATCATTAGAGAGTATGTCAGCAGAGGCTAAACCAAGTCAGGAAGGGATAGTGGGTGCAAACCGACTCCTCTCTCCCGCATCAATTATCTCCTTTAATCTTTACAATAATTCTATGAAGTAGGCTTTGTTATTCTCATTTTATAGATGAGGACAACACAGCCCTGAGTGGTTAAAATATGTATTAAAGTCAAACAATAGGAAGTGGTGAAGGTGAAATTCAAATAAGGGTATGCCTAACTTACTGAACCACACCTCTGACCCATATGATGGGCACTGCTGCCTGACTGGGCCGTTTGGCTCTGGGAACAATGTGGCCCTCCGGCTGCCCATGAGAAGCCTAAACCTAACACAAACACGTTAACTCCGGGGTTTCCAAGACTGAAATTTCCTTTTACCTGCTCTACTCCCCAGCCAAATATATTAGAGATTTGTAACCAGAATATGTCAACTGAGGCATCAAAACCTTATTAGAGAATTTAGAAGGCATCAGCATAGTTTCTTTATCCAAGAAAAGCATGTATATAAGTTCTACCTAAAAAGAATGAAACCAAATAGAAAAAGTTGCCCATGATTACACATTTAAAATTTGTCAGAATTAGTGTACTGATAAATATGTTGTAACTAAAATATACGATTAATATATTCCAGATACATTTTCTCAAGTCAGTCAGAAAAAATAAGTAAAGTATTAGGTTGGCACAAAAGCAATTGAGGTTTTTGCCATTGAAAATAAAGGCCCAAGCCGCAATTACTTTTGCACCAACCTAAATACATAGCCTGAAATGGAATAATAAATAGTATTAAATAATTAATAGTAACAAGCACAATGTCTTTCATATAGTAGGCATTCAACAAGTTTACCAAACACATAGACCTATATGTTCTACTTTGGTCATATCTAAGTATATTTTATTACTCTGAGTAGACCATTAAACACACACACACACACCCCTTACTCCCAAAATTCACTAGGTGAAACATCTAAAAGTAGGCGAACAATACTACTTAGTATTTTGGTCATAAAATGTTTTCTGAAAGAAATGAGAATCTTTAAAACTGTGCTGAAGGAGGTGCAGGATGAAAAATGCAAATACCTGTGAACACACAGACACACATTCGCCAGAATAAATAAAATCTGCTCAACCACCAAGGCCAATATCTAGAATTTGTAAATATTCAAACGTGGTACTTCATTTTATAAGAAAGACATGAAAAGTAAAAGGGCAAGTAACAATTTATTCAGAAATTAAATATCAGCATTCATAGGTCTGGCCTAATAGGACTAGTATAAGTTAGGTCCAATTTCCTGTACATGCACTGATGATCCTAACAGTGATCTGGAGTTGATGAAGAACTCCAGTGTGATATATGAATGGTATGATGTAAATGTAAGTATACTATATTAGAAAGTGAAAAATTATTAACTGCTATGGAAACTTCCAGTTAACTGAAATAACTCATTCTCTAATAATTTAGCATAAATAGGAATTTATCCTATTCTTTTACTAAAATTATCAATTTTATTGATAATTTAAATATTAGTAATGTACTTTATAGATGAAATGTTTTACTTTCCAACTTCCTTAAACTTCAGTATAGAGATGGTACATGTAAATAAGGAAATACAGATTAGCAATTAAAAAATTATTAGAAGTACTATCTCCTTTACAATTAAATGAGGTAGCACACAGTAGCCAAGTCTAAAATATCCAAATTCCACATATGATTGTTGATCACTAAGTCTTTTGTTTTTCCATGTATTAGAGATCATTTGATCGCTTCAGCCTCCATTTACATCTCAAGATAATACTGTAAGATACGGGATAAAAAATTCATATATTCAACTTCACTATTTTTTATACATTCTCGTTGAAGTTTCTGTAGAAAAGAAAGATGTAATCCTTGGTGAAATAAGGCTACAAATAACAGTTGTTCACTGATGTAATTTAGTTAAAAGTTAAGAATCACAGATTTTCTAAAATATTTGCTTTGGTCTTAAATGTTAAGCATACCAAAATACTACAACTGGCAATCTCCAACTTGCAAATATCATTGTTTCAAAAATTCATTTTTATATATTAATTGATTGGTAGTCAAAGAATATTTTCCAATATTTTGAAGGACCATTAAGTCTCTAGGTCAATCTAAAAAGTCCCCTATGGTTTAGACCACACTTGACATATAAAATATAAACCTAATAGTTTGATATGATTCTCCCATATCAAACTACCATTTATAACATCAGTTTTCTTTATTTTTATTTTTTAAAAAGTAGAGACGGGATCTCAATGTTGCTGTTTTTATTTATCTATTTATCTAATCCTGAATTCAGTTAGTAATTGTCTCCCATAGGTGTCTATCTCCAAAAAAGGACATGGCACACTGACTCCGACATTTACTTAATGTCCTTTACAACCTAAAGTGGCCTGCAGGATAGAAACTTCCTGTGGTGAATAAAAAGAATGGCATTACGAACTCCTGTCGTTCACATCCTTTCCATTTCATGGCACAATATTCAAATTTATTTGAATGCTTATAAAGATTTTCTTAAAAAGAAAAAACTCATAAGATCAATTGAAAGCGCAAAACAAAGGTATTTTATCAATACTCCCCTGGCCCCATTACCTCCTATTTTCTTCCACAAACCAACTAGCTTTATAGACCCAGGTTATTCTCCATTCTCATCTCACATTGAAGAGATACAAAATTTTCAAAAATATCACAATTTTAAAAGTTAAAGTATAGGGAGCTTATCAATTAAAATGAAGAAATTACTCCAGTCACATATTCCTGCTGAATCTTTATCTTTCATAACACTTTTTAAGACTGGTGATTAGAGGCTACCAAAGGATTTTCATAAACAAACAAAACAGATAGTGAAGTCGATAAAAACTGGAAAACTTGCAATTTACTGCATTTAGGAATGGGGTCTAAGCAACAATCTAATCAAGAATGAAAGCAGTCAAAAGAAAGACATCTAAAATAACCACAGTAGTAATTTTCACACCAAGTATGGCAGTCTCTATGTTAATGTTATTTTAAATATGTTTGTTTGGAATGACTAAATCTGTTAATAAAAACGTGAAAATATTATGACATTAAGCTGGCAGCACAAACAAAAAACCTGCTACAAAGTGACCAAGTCATAGTATACAAAACATACAACCTATAAACCCAGAAAGTTCTACAGAAAGTATACAGAGGAGAGGCAGGCTGGTTTCACCCTTATCAAAAATCTGTGATTCAAATGGTAAGTAAAACATGGTTCCAACATGGAAAAACTACAACTCTGTGGTCTCTCATTGAATCAGTAATATTAGAAAGAAGACAGACACAGGGAAAAGAGGCCTGTTAGTGTGGCCACCCCTGCCTAGACCAATCTAGAGATCTGAATGTGAGTTCAGATTGAGTAATCTTCAAATGACACTGGGCCCTCACCTTCCATACCTATAAAATGAGAGAACGAGAGGGTCAGCTTGGTCACAGTCTAAACCTTTAATCTTTTTTTTTTTTTGAGACAGAGTCTTGCTCTGTCACCCAGGCTTCAGTGCAGTGGTATGATCTCAACTGCAATCTCTACCTCCTGAGGTCAAGCAATTCTCGTGCCTCGGCCTCCCAAGTAGCTGGGATTACAAGCACCCACCACCACACCAGCTAATTTTTTGTATTTGTTGTAAAGACGGGATTTCACCATGTTGGCCAGGCTGGTTTCGAACTCATGGCCTCAAGTGATCTGCCTGCCTTGGCCTCCCAAAGTGCTGGGATTGTAGGCGTGAGCGAGGGCGCCTGACCTAAACCTTTAACCTTTAACTCTAAATCTTTAACTCTAAAGGAAGTCCCTTTATAAGTTTGTGACCAATTAATTAATAGGATACTATGCTTTTGTGCCCATTAGTAAAATGCAAGAAATTAATCCAAACCACTCAACTGTGACTAAAAGATTACATCCAAGCCACTGCATAATAGCATGGCAAAGCTGCAATGTAACAAAGAAAAAGAGATGCTGCATTTGGCATGTACTAGTGCTAAGGTGAAACTCAGCCAATTGCTATGTTTTATGAGGCCACTTACCACTCTTGTTCAAAGACTCAAGTCATAAGCAACACAGAATTATTATGAAAGAGTAAGTAATTCAAACAAACCAATTAGTGAAAAATCATTTATTTCATGAAGAGACAATAGTATTATTTGAAAAATTCACTGGTTTTGGTGTTATATAAACACATTTTAGTTTTGGATATAATAAAAGCAGAGTTAGTATAAAATGACTAATCACAAAGCTTTTTTATATTTGCTAAGAAACTAGTATATTAATTACCTACACTTTGAAATGACAAATATTTATAAGGTAGACAAAGAACTTTATATTTTTATTTTTTACATCAAAAATATATTAAGAAATAAAATAGCTTTTTGAAGCAGTTTAAAGGGCAGTCAATAAACATTTACATATTTAGGAATAATTTAACTCAGTTGAAATGATCTATCATTAACCCAGAAGAGTAGCAGATACAATTCCTAAAAAATACTACCTTTTGGCCGGGCGCGGTGGCTCAAGCCTGTAATCCCAGCACTTTGGGAGGCCGAGACGGGCGGATCACAAGGTCAGGAGAACGAGACCATCTTGGCTAACATGGTGAAACCCCGTCTCTACTAAAAATACAAAAAACTAGCCGGGCAAGGTGGCGGGCGCCTGTAATCCCAGCTACTCGGGAGGCTGAGGCAGGAGAATGGCGTGAACCCGGGAGGCAGAGCTTGCAGTAAGCTGAGATCTGGCCACTGTACTCCAGCCTGGGTGACAGAGCAAGACTCCGTCTCAAAAAAAAAAAACAAAAAAAACTGCCTTTCTCTATTGTATAACAAAATTACTTGCTGTATCATTAAGACCACTATCTTCTTCAGTAAATACTTATTAAGCTTTGGTACTATGTGCAAACCATTCATATTAAGGTTACATGAAATAAAAGATACAGTCCCTAGAGCTGAGAACTTTACAGTCAAATTACGAAAACAAAGTATATTTATAAACACAATAAACAGTATTTGCAAGTTTGCATTATTAAGCGTCAAGTAAGACGTACCAACAATCAATGCTAATGCACAGCAAGGAAAGCCCAACAAGGGTAGTTGGTCAGGACAGTTTTAGTAGCAGAGCCATAAGCTGGGTATTAAATAAGAGGACTTGATGCTAAGCACAGAAAACACAAAAGAAACTACTTCCTGCTGTTTGGGAACTTACACTGTACCATATATTAGTTATGTCTATACTAGTAAGTGATAAATAGACTCTATCAAAAGTGCAATCAACTAAAGAGGCATTTGATAAGCAGCTAACACAACAAGGTGTTAAAAGGGAAGTTTCTGCTGAGAACCAAAGACAACAGAAATGACATTCCAAAGCAGCTGCCAGAACATTCTCGAAAATGAGAAGAGGCAGTCTAAAGAAAAGAGTGCTAAGGTGTGTTACTGTCTACCCCCACCACCAGTGAAGTGGCGCTTCAAGGAGATTACAGAATAGGTTTCAGAGATTTCCCTGGGGAGAGCTGTGGTAACAGGGGCCTGTGTCTTCGAGGGGGAAGGGTGGAAGATGCTTGTCCCACATCTAAAGCCTAGGGAAAAAGGCTTTGCGCGGATGACTTGAAGAACTTGACATGTGTCTCAAGCAGTTTGAAGAACATGCTGACCTGGTACCTGATTAATCCCTGGAAAATCTAAAGGATGAGAAGCTGCATGAAGAGGCATGTGAGAACGAGAGAGAGGGCTGAACTGGGACCACCAGCAGAGTTTGTGCAAAGAATGAGTGCTCCCTATGTGGCCTCTACAGGAGAGTGAGCAACCTGGGGTAGGATCACACGAGTCCATGCAAGAGGGGCATCTAGAGTTTGCACAGACCTCTGCACAGTGAAGGTGAAGGTACTGCTAGCTCTAAGAGGCTGAGGAAGGAGGAAGCAACCAACCAGAACGTAAGGGAATTCTCACTGTCAAGGAATTCAGGTGAAAATCTAGAGCCACTGAGGTGGGAGGTAGAGGATTCTCCAGTGAAACAACAAGGTTTAAACATTCTGCAACGGCTACAAAAGCACTGAAACTAAATCACCAGCTAGCTTCTTCACTAATCAAGTAAAAGTTTGCTGCTCCTCTGTCCTCTTTTTGCTTCTTCCTTGTCCAACTTTGGAAGGGTCAGAAACCAGAACTGGCAAGACAAAGCAGGAAGAGTAGGAAAACCAGGTAAGAAGTAAAAAAGGCAATGATACCCCCTTCCCCAGTTACTGGCTTCCTCCTTGCAAGAGACAGAAAAAGAGACCAGTTAAGGGAGAAGCCTCATCTTTATTTCAGGCTTGGTCTGCAGTTTCTACTTGTTGGTACTGGGCATTTTAATTTTAATAATCAAATTGAGACTTCTGTGACTTTGTTACTGAAGGATGATTTGTATTATCTAAGAGCAACCAGAAAAATTAAGTTAATCCATGGCAGAGGATGAACCAGTCTCAAAGAGTAAATTGAAAGAGACAAAAAGAGAAAAAAATTTGAAGTGACAAAAAAAAAAAAGCTTTTATAATTACATCCCACAAGGCCTGCTTTTCAACCTCATATCCTGAAAAGTCAACACAGTGGAGAGCACAGAAGTATACAAATGTGGTCTTATAAAACATAACTGAACCCATCCAGCTTCACTGCCTATCCTGAGATAGTTCAGCTATTAACATTTGCAGCAACTTGCCATAATGTAGCTCAAGAATCTAATATTAATTCTTAAAACTTGACATGAGTGACCCAAATATGCTAGGCTTCCTTTAAAAGGCAGAGACTGTGTCTTGCTCCCAGCTGTATCTGTAACACCCAAAGTCTCCCTTATATTAAAGGTGCTTAAAGAACTGCTGTTCTCCTTACCGTGAGAAGGTTGCTATGTTAGGCTCTTAGGAAACAGGATCTGAACAAATATGCATACAGCAAAGACTGCTTTTTAGTTAAAAATATATTGAGCTTCGCTCTGGGCAAAATTATAATATATATTACTTTCATGCTTATCCTTTCATAGCGAGTCAAATCTTTGAAACATGCACACTGTATTTTCAGTACTATACTACCACAATACAGAATAAATGTGAAATCTTTAAACTTTGATATTCGAAGGAGAAAAAAATACTACTATATACATATTTTTAAAAAGTTTAGCAGAAAACTCTCAAAATAAGTGCACTATCATACAACGCTGTTAAATGCAGAATGGTTTATTTTAAAAGGAGAGAAGCATTTTAAAAAATATCCATATTTTATTAATACTCATATTAGTATATGTCTTTTCAGTGAGTGACAGCCTGAATGAAGAGCCTACTATGTGCCGCTACAATTCTGTAAAACAGGTATTATCATCCCTATTTTAAAGATTAGGAAACTGAGGCACAGTGTTTAATGGCTTGCTCAAGGTCACAACAGTAGTAAGTGGTGGAGTGAGAATTTTAACTCAGTGTGTCAGGTTCCCACACTGCTCTTAAGTGTGCTGCTGCTATAATGCTGAAGAGTTGAGTTCTACTGACTTCTTTCCAAAAGAAATAAAATCCAATTTTAATGGTTACGTTTACAGTGTACAATTATGAAATATAAGCCACTGTCAAGCTCCAACCATAGTGGGAACGCACCTCTGCTAATATGAATAAACTCTTCATGAGTAAAAATTCTATATGGCAGATAGTAGTAAAGTTCGTAACAGTCCCTCTCTATGTTTATATACATTCATGATGTCATGCTTATGGTACAGTATTTACAATAAGTGTATATGACTGTAAAATTTGACAACTTTCAAAATGGTACATAAAGAAAGCAAGTCTTATTATATGTCTGTAGAAATAGAAAGATGTTGGCTGCAACAGAGTCCTATTATCAGACTGTTTCATTCTCAGGCCTTATCTTAGTAAATCAAGGCAGGATAATCCCTAGATATTTCAGGATATGTTAATGGTTCTTATTGGAATGATTCTGTCCCAACTACCTTGCCCCATCCTGGGAAAATTTGGTAATATCTGGAGGCATGTTTACTGTCATGACTGGGGATGGGTGTGGGAGGGTAGCTACTGGTACCCACTGAGTACTGCCAGGGATGCTGCTAAACATCCCGTAACGCACAGGATATCCCACAACCAACAAGGAATTATTCAGTCCAAAATGTCAATAATGTGACAATATCCAGTCCAAAATGTGACACTGAGAAAGCTAGTATGAAGGATTAAATGTCTGAAGTACTTAGCAGAGGGTGTGGAGAGTGTTTAGAGACTGTAACTACAAACACAAAACCACAGAGTCCAAGTAACACTCAGTAAAGATCAGATGAGGCATTCAAGCAGTGTGAGAGCACTGGCCTGAGAGCACCCTCTTGTCTCATTAGATATGAGGTGGGTAATGTAATGGGAGAAAATACCAGCTTCCAATCAATACACCTACCTTTACCGGTGGTGCTGACTTATTTTTTTCTGATAAAAGAACAGGAAACTGAAAAAGTGTTAAGTAGAAAGAAAAAAAATATACTGAAGAGCAACAGCTTTTATTAAACAGTACACAGTCCCACAACCAATTTACTGAGTTTTCCTATTACTTACAGTAGGGCTCTAGAGGGTTACATCTAAAATGAGAACAGTGGATGTTATGGATGCATCATAAGAGAAAATCAGAATAAATATTCATGTGCTTCATTCAGGACATCAGTATTCGGAAGATCAAACACTGTTGCAGGAAGCCTGGCTTTTAGACTCCAAATGTGTAAATGTTCTGATGATACACTACTATCATTCCTTCTTAGATCTTCCTTTCTCTGAATGCAATACTCTGACAAAAAAGGAAACAAAACACCGCACAAACAACTTCTGAGTCAGTGCTGAGATAAAATAAAAGATGAAAACTTCACAAGACGTTGGCTGAGTTTAACTGTTACCTACCTGTAACTTTTCTTTTGCTCTTCCATTTGTGCTCTCATTTTGTAGTCCTTTTATGTTATCTTTTCTATCCTCAGTCACATTTCTTTACTAAAATCTTTTTATTCTCTTTTCATCCTTTTTTCACTCCAATTTCCTTCCTTTCCTCTCTTCGGAATCTCATGTCTTACTTCACTCTCTCAAAAGTGCCAACCAGCAATGGGATTATATGAGAACTCTAGAGTTGAGTCAGACTCAGAGGCTATCTAGCAGTAACCCCCACGATGCCCATCTCTCTTCAGCATACGAACTCTCCTAACAAGCTGTTAGGAGACAGCTTAAACACATTAAGGTACACCACATTTCTTAACTTTCAGACACCATAAATCACTTCTTACTGATAGGTACTGCTAGATTGCTGGTGAGATCTAAGCAGAGCAATATAACTGATAGGAATTGCTCTTGCTTCACAAATACCAATTCCTTCTCATTATCGACATTTATTAAATTAGAAAAAAGTCCCCTGATTTAGTTACAGTCCTAACTACACGTGGCTGAATTTGACGGCTATCTGCTCCTTGAAAATTATCCTTCGATAGACAAACATTGAACTAGATGCAGACACAGTGTGATTCATCTAATAAGCCTTGTTTGACATTTTGTCAGGATAAGGAATGACTCATTAAATGCCCCAAATCGGCACTCAAGGTATGTTTTACCCTTCTACATTCCTCTGAAAGTTGAGTCTCCCCTTAACTAACCAGTAAGATACGGTTTAATTCCGAGTCATATTACGTAAATACGGTACTGTACTTCAACTGGTACTGTAGTGTGATGCCTCGTGGAGCCCTGGCAGATGCATGGGAGCAACAGTAAAGTGATTCAGTATTGTGGAGTAAAGGAACTAAATCCTAATTTGTTCTGTGCTGGCTTAGCCTTAAAGGGCAAGCAGGTGCAAGTCCCTTACACCCACCGTGCCGTTGTGCAGTCTAGTTTAAATTCATGTTGCCAGCGTTACACCAAAGTTTGCAGGGTTTTGGAGGTGTCTCCGGCTGTTGCTTCGGCGGAGGAGTCGCGTTCCCCTCGCTGCGGGCGCAAGACGTGCTGCCTCCCAGGCAGGCAGGTGAGTCTGGCGCGGCCCGCACAGGGTCGCCACCCGCCCCGCCGCTGCGCCCCTTACCTTGGTGAGCTGGGCGATTTTCTTGCTCATTTTCAGGTGCATCTCCTGGCTGTAGTCCATGCTGTGCCCAGCCAGCTGCGCGGCGGCCGAGGAGGGCGCGAATTTGGCCGCCCCGGCCGCCGAGCCGCCGTAATAGTGCTGCTGCCAGCTCATGCCCGGGGTCGCCATCTTCCCGACAGACCCCGGCCGGGGCACCTGTCCCCGCGCGCAGAGGCAGGCCCGCGGAGCAACGACGCCCGCGAGGCAAGAGTCGCGGCGGCCACTTCCCTACCCGACACCCGGCGCCCCCCAGACTCGGTCGCAGGCGCCGTCCCGCCGGCGACCCCCGGGTCACCCCTGGAAGGGACGGGGCGGTCCCGCCGGCCCGATGCCGCGGGGACAACGGCGCGGGGCAGATGCCCGGGGTTGGGCGGCGGCGGCCAGGGGCCGGGTCTGCTCTCGCTGGCTCCTCAGCCCGCGCCCGGCGGAGGCGTCGAGGACAGAGTGGCTCCCCGAGTCCCACTCGCAGCCCGCACCGAGGACTCGGCGAGGCTGCGGAGGGAGGAGGAGACGGGGCGGGCTGCGGTGGGGGTAGGCGGGGACATGGAGGAGGACGCGGGACCCGCCGTTACCAGGGCGCGCGCGGGGACGGCGACGTCATTTCCCCGTAGCCAAGTCCCGCCCCGCCCCGCGCAGCCGCCGCCACCGCCAGTCCCGCAGTCCTGCGGCCAGTGCGGGCGCCTCGCGAGGTCGCGCCGGGACCGCGCCTCCAGTGCTTCCAGCATGTGGCGGGGACCCGGCAGCACAGCCCTGGCGGCGATCCCCGTGAGGAGAGCATGAGGCCTGACGTAAAAAAAAAAAATTCTCCCCAAGAAGACAGTGCCAGTGGTCACCTGCGGTTAGCAGAACCGGTGTCGGTTTACAGACCCTTTCCACGTGCGTCCTCTTGTGTGCAGGGCCCCAAGAAGTGGCTTTTCCCCAAGAAGAGCGGCAAGCCCAACCCAGAGACCTGAGTAGTGAAGTAGGGAGATTTCCCTGCCCTGACCTTCCTTCCAGTGGCACACAACTGATAGTAACACTGTCTTACACCCCCTCCTCCGTCCCCTACTGAGTGCCCGACCACTGCCCCCAGTTCAGTGCTGAGTGTATGTGTGGAGGAAACACTCCTTTTCAGTCAGCTGGTGGAGCACCGCATAGCTATTTTCCCCCAGTGGAGCCCAACACAAATGCATATGAAACTACTTGGCTGGAAATAAGTAAGAATAGGATTGGAGTGAAAGTAATGGGAAAAATCTGGAACAAGACATCAGTGCTTTCAGGATTTGGAGCTGGGCCAAAATGTGTCATAATTTGTGCATTTTCACCTTTCCTAAATGTGTTATTCCCTACTGATTTTCTCTTAACATCTCTACTCCAGCAAGTCCAATGATTTTTTAAAATATTTTTTGTATCCTTCATTGAAGCATGTGAGTCATTTTAGGGCATGGATAATACAAACTTTAAAAATCATAGAATTGTACCTGTCTTTAAAAAAATCTTATCACGCAGTTTTGCAGAACCAAATTCCCCAACTCTATGTGATTTCTTTTTAGCATGCAAGTAGCCAAAATATAAATCTGAGAATATTAACAGACTAATTGAGAGCCAAATTAACAAAGACTGTCTGGATGTGACAACATCTAAACAAGGCGAAGATTTAATCGGACCCTGAAATACTTTCAAATCTGTTGGAATTCCAGAAAGGAAACTTGAAATTGGCTGCCTCTTTTCCCAGATGCTAGGTACTCAGTCGCGGTTTAACAGACCAGGAAAAACGTCTAGCTCCAAGGTTCTGAATGGAGCATATGGCCAGAAACAAATATCCTGCAAATGTTGCTCCTTTCTTAAGCACTAATGATCAAATAAAATTAAAGCGAATTAGGAACTAGTGCTATTTCATCAAATTCTAGGCATGGAAGATTCACAATCATTTTAGAACTCACATCCTTTACGTTCTAAGCAGAAATGTATGCTCAAAAGGCTCTCTCTGTTTCACTAAATTTGTATAGCCAAGTCTTGCTAGGACAAAGATGTTTTTTGTTTTTGTCACTATGATAAAGTGGAAAGAGAGTAAGACTGGAAATAAGGAGACGAATGTGTAGCCTTAGTTGAGTCACCCAACCTGTTCACTCCTCAAGTGCTTCCTCTGAGAAGAGACGGTGTTACCAGCTCCTTCCACTTCGGACTTGATAATTAGAAGTTAGGACCCAGGTCCACTGGTAATTCACTCTGAACTCCATCACATGAGTTTCCATCATCACTGTGTGGCATAGCCCAAAGGACCGTTTTCTTAAATACTATGCTCAAAACACATCCACTGTCACTTCATGAATTTAATATTTTTCCCCACTACACTGGGATAAAACAAGTCACAATTGAAATTATATTTAATATAAATAATGAATAGAAACATAATATACAGGTTGATTATCCTGTATTCAAAATACTTGGGACCCAAAGTGTTCTGGATTTCAGACTTTTTAGGATTTTGGAATATTTGCATTATACTTACTGGTTGAGCTTCCCAAATCCAAAAATCTGAAATCCAAAATGTTCCAATGAGCACTTCCTCTGAATGTTGTGTTGGCACCCAACATTTCTGGTTTTGAAGCATTTTAGATTTTGAGTTTTCAGATTTGGGATGCTCAGCTGGTAAGACACCCTGTATTAGTCTGTTCTCACATTGCTATAAAGAAATACCTGAGTCTGGTACTCATAAAGAAAAGAGGTTGAATTGTCTCACAGTTCTGCAGGCTGTACAGGAATCATAGAAGCTTCTGCTTCTGGAGAGGCCTCGGGAAACTTACAATCATGGCCGAAGGTGAAGGAGAAGCAAGCACAATTTACATGGCTGGAGCAGGAGGGAGAAAGACAGCAGGGAGGTGCCACACGCTTTTAAACAACCAGATTTCATGGTAACTCACTATCATGAGAACAGCACCAAGTGGATGGTGCTAATCCATTCATGAAAACTTTGCCCCTCAGAAAACTTACAACATGGAGGAAGGTGAAGGAGAAGCAAGGCACATCTTACATGGTGTCAGATGAGAAAGAGAGAAAGAGAGACAGGAACTGCCAAAAACTTATCAAACCATCAGATCTTGTGAGAGTTCACTCACCATGACAAGAACAGCATGGGGGAAGTCACCCCCATGATCCAACTGAAACAGGAAAAGTTCCCTTGTCCCCTTTGCAGGGCATGCAACGGGAGTGTGACTCCTTCAGTGCCCTGCTGCTCAAACCTCTAGGGGAGCACACAGATGGGCAGGCTGTAAGGCTCAGACCCCAAGGCAGTGTCTAGGGGTGAATGTTTACAGCTGAAGCCCCAGTGGGCATGTGTTACAGGGTGCTCTTTTAGCTTAGCTGTCTGTAGGTGGCTTGTGTTAGCCAGCTCAATTAGACCCCTGCCTTATCACATATGTATCCTGGGGTTCTTGCCTTGGTGTACTGGAAGAATCGGATCACACGTGGGCTTGGAGAATGAGTGCAAGGCTTTATTGAGGGGAAGTAGCTCTCAGCAGATGGCGGAGCCAGAAGGGAGATAGTTTTCCCCTGGAGTCAGGCCACTCGACAGCCCAGGCTCTTCTCCGACTGCCCCAGTCAAACTGCGTGTTGTTCTGCCAGTTGACAGCCTGCTGGCATGCTGGTGCCTATCAGTGCATTCCTCTCAATGTCCAGCTACCTATGTGTCCCTCTGCTGATGTGCTTCTCTTGACATGCAGCCACCTGTGTGTTACTCCACTGATGTGCTCTTCTCAACATCCAGCTGCCTGTGTGTTCTGCCACTGATGTGCTCCTCTTGACATCCAGCCACCTGTGTCTGCCTGCTGGGGTCTCCAGGTTTTTATAGGCACAGGATGGTGGGGGTGGCAGGCCAGGGTAGTCTTGGGAAATGCAACATTTGGGCAGGAAAACAAAAATGTGTGTGCTCACCTAGGTCCATGGGCATAGGCCTGGAGGTGTAGCTCTAGCCAGGGACCACACCCTTCCCCCTTTCTGTATTATTTGAAGGGACAGTGCCCTTCTCTTTCCAGCACTTTCCTTCTGTATCACAGTCATCTCCCAGCAGGTCCTTCCCTTGACACATGGGGATTTCAATTCAAGGTTAGATTTGAGTGGAGACAGAGCCAAACTATGTCATTCCACTCCTGTTCCCTCCCAAATCTCATATGCTTCTCACATTTCAAAACACAATCATGCCTTCCCAACAGTCTCCCAAAGTCTTAACTCATTCCAGCATTAACCCAAAAGCCCAAGCCCAAAGTCTCATCTGAGACAAAGGAAGTCCCTTCCACGTATGAACCTGTAAAATCAAAAACAAGTTAGTTACTTCCAAGATACAATGCGGGTACAGGCATTGGGTAAATGTTCCCATTCCAACTGGGAGAAATTGGCCAAAACAAAGGGGCCACAGGCCTCATGCAAGTGTGAAAACTGACAGGCCACTCATTAAATCTTAAAACTCCAAAATAATCTATTTTGACTCCATGTCTCAAATCTAGGACATGCTGATGCAAGAAGTAGGCTCCCAAGGCATTGGGCAGGTCCGCTTCTGTGGCTCTGCAGGGTGCAACCCCCATGACTGCTTTCACGGGCCAGTATTGAGTGCCTGTGGCTTTTCCAGACACATGGGGCAGGCTGTCAGTAGACCTAATATTACGGGGTCTGGAGGATGGTGGCCCTCTTCTCACAGCTCCACTAGGCACTACCCCAGTGGGGACTCTGTGTAGGGGCTTCAACCCCACATTTCCCTTCTGCACTCTGACCTAACAGAGGTTCTCCATGAGGGCTGCACCCCTGCAGCAAATTTCTGCCAGGACATCTAGATGTTTCCATATATCCTCTGAAATCTAGGCAGAGGTTCCCAAACCTCAGTTCTTAACTTCTGTGCACCTGCAGGCCCAACACCATGTGCAAGCCACCAAGGCTTGGGGATTACACCCTCTGAAGCAATGGTCTGAGCTATACACTGGTCCCTTTTAGCCATGGCTGGGATAAAAGGCACCAAGTCCCAAGACCGTACAAAGCGGCAAGGTCCTGGGCCCAGCCCACAAAACCATTTTTTCCTCCTAGGCTTTGGGGCCTGTGATGGGAGGGGCTGCCAGGAAAATTTCTGAAATGCTCTGTAGATATTTTCCCCATTGTCTTGGCTACTGATATTCCTCTTTTTGTTACTTATGCAAGTTTCTGCAACTGGCTTGAATTTGTCCCCAGAAGTAAGCTTTTCTTTTCTACCACAGGGTCAGGTTGCAAATTTTCTCAACTTTTATGCTTGACTTCCCTTTTAAATAGAAGTTCCAGTTTCAGATAATCTTTTTGTGAATGAATATGACTGCATACTTTCAGAAAAAGCCAGGTTACCTCTTGAATGCTTTGCTGCTTGGAAATTTCTTCTGCCACATACCCTAAATCATCTAAGTTCAAAGTTCCACAAATCTCTCGAGCAGGGTCAAAATCCTGCCGGTCTCTTTGCTAAACCATAGCAAGAGTGACCTCTACTCCAGTTCCCAATAAGTTCCTCATCTTCATCTGAAACCACCTCAACCTGGACTTTGTTGTCTACATCACTGTCAGCATTTTGGTCAAATTCATTCAACAAGTCTCTAGGAAGTTCTGAACTTTCCCACATCTCCCCGTCTTCCTCTGAGTCCTCCAAACTGTTCCAGTGTCTTCCTGTTACCCAGTTCCAAAGATGCTTCCACATTTTTAGGTATCTTCACAGCAATACTATCCCAGTACCAATTTTTTATATTAGTCTGTTTTCACACTGCTATGAAGAATACCTGAGACTGGGTAATTTATAAAGGAAAGAGGTTTAATTGACTCACAGTCCAACATGCGGGGGAGACCTTGGGAAACTTACAATCATGGTGGAAGGCAAAGGGGAAGCAAGGCACATCTTACATTGTGGCAGGAGAGAGAGAGAGAGAGAAAGCAAAGGAGGAGGTCCCACTTTAAACCATCAGATCTCATGAGAACTCACTCACTATCATGAGAATAGCATGGGGGAAACTGTCCCCATGATTCAATCACCTCCCAGGAGGTCTCTCCCTTAACACATGGGGATTACAATTCAAGATGAGATTTGAGTGGGGACCCAGAGCCAAACCATATCAGGGCATATAGGCATTGGGTAAAAATTGTCATTCCAAAAGGGAGACATTGGCCAAAAGGAAGGGCCTACAGGCCCCATGCAAGTTTGAACCCCAGCAGGGCAGTCGTTAAATCTTAAAGCTCCAAAATAATCTCCTTTGACTCCATGTCTTACATCCAGCGCACACTGATGCAAGGGGTGGGCTTCCAAGGCCTTGGGCAGCTCCACCCCTGTGGCCTTCCAGGGTTCACACCCCACAGTTGCTCTCCTGGGCTGGCATCATGTGCCTGTGGCATTTCCAGCCACAGGGTGCAAGCTGCCAATGGCTCTAACATTCTAAGGGCTGGAGGATGGCAGCCCTCTTCTCACACCTCCACTAGGCAATGTCCCAGTGAGGACTCTGTGTGGGGTCTCCAACCCCAAATTTCTCCTCGGCACTGCCCTAGTAGAGGTTCTCCATGAGGGCTCTGCCCCTGCAGCAGGCTTCTGCTTACACATCCAGGTTTTTCCATACACCCTCTGAAATCTAGGCATAGGCTTCCAAGCCTCAACTCTCACACTCTGCACATCCGCAGGCTTAATACCACCAAGGTTTATGGCTTGCACCCTCTGAAGCAACAGCCCAAGCTGTATCTGGAGTCCTCTGAGCCAAGACTGGAGACAGAGCTGGGAGCAGGGTCTCGAGGCTGCACAGGGCAGCAGGGCCCTGGGTGTGGCTCATGAAACCATTTTTCCCTCCTAGGGCTCCAGGCCTGTGATGGGAGAGGTTACCTTCAATGCCTTGGAGGCCTTCTACCCATTGTCTTGGCTATCAGCATTTGCCTTTCTTTTCATTATGCGAATTTCTGCAGCCTGCTTGAATACCTCTGCTGAAAATGGGTTTTTCCTTTCTACCACATGACCAGGCTGCAAATTTTCCAAAGTTTTATGCTCTGCTTCCCTTTTTAATATAATTTCCAGTTTCAGATAATTTTTTTTCTCACACATATGAGCATTCATTGAAAAGCAGCCAGGCCACATCTTGAATGCTTTGCTGCTTAGAAATTTCTTTTGCCAGATACCCTAAATCATCACTCTCAAGTTCAAAGTTCCACAGATCCCTAGAGCAGGGGCACAATCCAACCAAATTACTTGCTAAGGTGTAACAAAAGTGACATTTACTCCAGTTTCCAATAATTCCTTATCACCATCTGAGACCTCCTCAGCCTGGACTTTATTGTTCATATCACTAACAACATTTTGGTCACTAACCAATTTCTAGTAAGTTCCAAACTGTCCCTCATTTTCCTATCTTCTTCTGAGCCCTCCACACTCTTCCAATCTCTGACAGTTACCCAGTTCCAAAGTCACTTCCACATTTTCAGGTATCTTTATAGCAATGCCCCACTCCTTGGTACCAATTTTCTGCATTAGTCTATTCTTGCATTACTTTACAGAAATATTTGATACTGGGTAATTTATAAAGAAAAAAGGCTTAATCAGCTCACAATTCTGCAGGATGCACAGGAAGCATAGAAGCTTTTGCTTCTAGGGAGGCCTCAGGAAACTTACAATCATGGAGGAGGGTGAAGGGGAAGCAAGCACATCTTACATGGCCAGAGCAGGACAAAGAGAGAGTGGTGGGGGGGCAGGTGCTACACACTTTTAAACAGCCAGAGCTCATGATAAGTCACCCACTCATTATCCTGAGAACAGCACCAAGGGGATGGTGCTAACCTATTCATGAGAACTTTGCCCTCATGATCCAATCACCTCCTACCAGGCTCTACCTCCAGTGGGACATTACAGTTCCACATGATATTTGGTAGAGACACAGATCCAAACCACATCATACCCATAATCCCATCACCAGAACCTCACTTTTAAAAAAATCTAGCAAAGTTAGCATGCAAAAGAGAGAAAATGAGAGATACTAGTTAGGCAAGAAATCTATACTTAGTGCCTGTTTCTTTCCTGAGATTGTTTATGCAGAAATATTTGTTGACTGCCTATTGTGTTCCAGGTACTGAGGCTGCAGTGATGACTAAAAAGTAGTCTCTTCAGGACAGTAGTCTCTATCCTGAAGAAGTTAGAAGTCTAGTGAAGATGAACAAATGAAGAATTAGGTGCTACAAAGTGGGTGAGTATGAAAGGAACTCCAAGAGGGTCACTTAACTTAGACTTGGGTGTCAGAGAAGGCTTCACACACACAAACGTAATGCTTGAATGGACCCTGAAGGCTGAGTTTTTCAGGTAAAATGGGTAGGAAGGTAGATCACAAGCTCCAAGGAGGGTAAGGGCAAAGCCCTGGAGATTAGATGAGAGCATGACCTATTTAGGGAAAAGCAAGTAGTGTAATATGGCTAGAGCACAGTTTGAGAGGGATGTCAGAATGTGAGGTGGAGCAGGTATCCAGATTACTCAGGGAAGGGGGACTTATATGCCTTGACAAGAGGATTGGGTCTCTGTTCTGAAAGCAATCATGAGCCATTGGAAGGCTTTAAGCAGGAACATGAAATAATCATATTTTCATTTTAGTTACATAATTCTTGTGACTGTGGAAAATCGATTATGGGACAACTCTATAAACCAGGAGACTAGTTAGCAGGCTATTGCACTTATTCTGGCGAGAGATGATGAACCACTGACCTAAAATAACGCAGTGAGAGTACAAAAATAAAAGGATGGATGTGAAATATCCATAAGGTAAAACAGACAGGACACTGAGGCTGAGGAGCAGAGAGCTGTCAAGTTTGCATGACTTTTTCCAAGAAGTGGAGGCTCCTAACACACGATACATGGTTATAAAATTAAGTAAAAGTTTGTAAAAAATAACATTCTTTGTATTTTTTAAGCCTTCCCAAATTGTGTATGTTTCAGGTCCCAGAAAACCTAGATTAACCCCAGGCAATAGCAGTTAAGGTTAAGAATTAAAATTAGGATAGAGATGTGAGCTCAACAGTTAATGGACCAAAAGCATAGGCAACAAAAGAAAAAATAGATAATTTGAACTTCATCGAGATAAAAAACTTTTATGCGCCAAAAGATGCTAACAAGAGAGTGAAAAGGTAGCGCATGGAATATGAGAAAACATTTGCAGATCATGCTTCTGATAAAGGATTAATATACAGAGCGCATAAAAAATTTCTAAAACTCAACAATAAAAAGCAAATAACACAATTAAAATATGGACAAAGGACTTGAATTGTTATTTTTCTAAAGAAGATATACAAATGGCCAATAAACACGTAAAAAGATGCTCAAAACATCACTAATTATAAATGCAAATCAAAGCCACAATGAGATACCACTTCATACCCATTAGAATGGCTGCTATCAAAAAAACAAAACAAACGCAAACAGAAAATAACAAGTGGTAAATGGAGAATTAGGACCCTTGTGGTTGAACTTGCTGGTTGAAATGTGAAATGGTACAGCCACTGTGGAAAACAGTATGCTGGTTCCTCAGAAAATTGACAGAATTACTATATGATTCAGAAATTTCACCTCTAAGTATATACCCAAAATAATTGAAAGCCAAGACTTGAAAAGATATTTGTACACCGATATTCACAGCAGCATTATTCACAGAAGCCAAAAGATGGAAGCAGCCCAAATATGTATTGATGGATAAATATAGATATACAGGATGGGGTATATACAACAGAATGTTACTCAATCTTAAAAAGAATGACACATGAATGAAACTTACAGATATTACATTAAGTGAAATAAGCCCAATTACAAAAGGACAAATACCATATGATGTTTTACTTATATGAAGTAGCTAGAGCACTCAAATTCATAAAGACAGAAAGTAGAATGGTGGTTTCCAGGGGCTAGAGGGAGAAGGGAATGGAGAGTTATTGTTTAATGGGTATAGGGTTTCAATTGGGGAAGATGAAAAAGATCTAGAAATGAATAGTGGTGATGGTTGTACAACAGTGTGTATCTACTTAATGCACTAAATGATATACTTAAAATGGTTAAAATGCTAAATTGTATGTTATTTATATTTTGCTACAATTAAGAAATGATTCATCAATGAAAAGTACTCTTGCTACTTACGGGAAGTGCATTCCAGCGAACAGACAATCAGATAATGCTATTCTGTCAATCAACAAGCATTTATTGAGTGCTTTCCTCATGGAGGTGAAATAGACATTTCCTACCCAAGGTCATGGTTAGCTAAAGAGGACATCTAGATATAAGGTCTGAAAGAAGACAGAGGTAGAGGAAATGTTTTTCTTTCTTCTTTTTTCTATTCTTTCTTCCCATTTGGGCCAGAAGAATCATAGAGACCAAGTTAGGCAGTCAATTGAAAATGATATTAAATGTCTACAAAAGCACCTGTACTAAAGATCTTCAAAAACGTCTTTGGGGTTTGCCAGGTGATCTCCAAGGTACTTTCAGCTCTCTTCTTATTTGCATCTCAATGTTATGCCTCTTAGGAACATTCAGTATTTGAATGGGACTCAATCTAAGGCCATACAGCAAGGTATAAGGGACTTAGAATCACTATAGACTGTGTACAAGCAACTGAACTCCAATGGAATCAATAATCATACGAGTTTTTTGTAAGACTTCACACAAATAAGGGAAACGTTTTGAGTTAAACATTCTCTAAATGACAACTCTTCTCTTGGCGCAAGTCTCCATGTATAATGGAAAGATAATCAGAATCTTGGTTGGTATTCTGGGTCTCATTTTGCCACTAAGCCACCTCTTTTCTTCATCTGTAAAATAAGGACACTGGACTAAATGATATTGAGTATTTCTTATATCTCTCTCATGTTACATGTTGAATTATTTAATATTTTACATTATTTATTTATTTATTTAAGACAGGATCTTTCTCTGTCACCCAGGTGTGAACTCTTGGGCTCAAGCAGTCCTCCCACCCTTGGCCTCCCAAATAGCTAAGACCTATTTTTTTTAACTATATATATATATATATATATATATATATATGTATTTTGAGACAGAGTCTCACTCTGCAGTGCAGTAGCTTGATCTCGGCTCACTGCAACCTCCACCTCCCAGGTTCAAGTGATTCTCCTGTCTCAGCCTCCCAAGTAGCTGGGATTACAGGCACCCGCCACCATACCTGGCTATTTTTTTAAAAAAATTTTTGTAGAGACAGGGTTTCACCATGTTGGCCAAGGTGGTCTCAAACTCCTGACCTCAAATGATCTACCCGCCTCAGCCTCCCAAAGTGCTGGGAATATATATTTTTAAAATTCTTGTAGAGATGGAGTCTTGCTGCATTGCCCAGGCTGGTCTTGAAATCCTGGTCTCAAGTAATCCTCTTGCCTCAACCTCCCATAGCACTGGGATTACAGGTGTGAGCCACAATGCCCAGCCATTATTTCATATTTTTAGAACAGAATTTTGTTGTGTTTGTGTGGATATACCACACATCAATCATGCTCCAACTCTCACTTCCACCTCCTAACACACCCGAACCATGGTACACAAAATAAGCCTAAATAAGGTGGTTCTTGTTTCTTTAGATTAGTGGTTAATCTAGATGGCTGCAAGTTGGTAAACATCATGATAAAAGAGTTTGACTGTGATTTGTTGGTTCTTGCTATGTGCTTCTTTCTCTTTTTTCTTTATTTTTGTTTCTTCCTCATGAATTCAGAAAACTCAGCTCTATCATCAATTGATAATGATATTGAAAACCTTCTAAAATGTTTGATACATAATATATGCACAATAAATGTTTATGTCCAATTTTTAGTTAACTTCACTTTCTCAACCAAAACTATCATTAGCTTTTTCTCTTAACAACAGCCAACCCTTTCTATGAATATCACAATCAACCAGCAGCTAACTGGTTTATCCATCTACTTGGCTTCCTTTGAAAGCAGGGACTGAATAAGTTTACTTGGTAAGTGATCTTGAGAAGCAAGAATATGAGAGCGATAAGGAAAAGCCATTGAAGGACACATTGTTGAGTTGGTTACCACTTTGGTCCACTGGGACTCAATCTCTGAAGAATCTTGTAAAATCAATCTCAGAATTTTCTCTCCCAAAGACGAAAGGCGGACGCATTTATTTGCTGTCTCCTTTCACTCACTGATCAAAGGTGGCTACCAGGGGAATTAACGTCTCTGTGTGTCTGGTTATTCAATGTGAGCCTAGTGAACTCCTGTGGCTTTGGAGACAGTGGGAGTCAGGAAGGCAGAGAGATCCAGCAGGTGCTTAAGGGAAAACTATGGCATGCATAGGAACTGTCCAACACCTTTGCAGCTGAAATCAGAAGAAGTGGCACAGGACATCAAAAGTATCTCCTACAATCTATCCCTTAAACCTTTCAGATCCATTTTTGCTCTATATGAAATTCATTCTGTTACCACCTCTTTAAGGTCATAGCTAGCTGCTAATTGTTAAAAGGACTCCAGATGAGACTTAGTGTAGCGAGCAGATGTCCCTTTGCTGCAACTGCTCCAAAGGCCATAACTGATATTCATCAGGTCCCTTTCAGATTTCCACCACCTCTTCCAGATTTTCCTTACCCTTCGTGAGCACTTCAGCTGATCTAAATTATTTGGTTGGTGGGGAGATCCAAGTGTCTTCATTCTTGAGGAATCCAAGCTCTTAGTTGGCTTACCCATGTCAGGCTGAGGTGCTATAATTTTTCATTCAGTGCTTTCACCAGGTATGACAGAACTAGGTGAATCCCAGTGAATCTTTTGAGATCTAGAGATAGTCCTTACTGTTTTCATTATTTAGCAGTAATCCTAGATGCTTATGATAATCAGGATCAATTACCTTGCCAGTATGAAAAATGCCTTTCTTTGTCTACTAGTCCTTTGGCATAAACAGCCAAAGTGAGCAGGGGGTAGTCATAGCTATAGGTCCTGTGAGACTCTTGCTGTGTATTAATGCTGTGTACTAATACTATGTATTGATACAAGTCATTTTTCTCCCTCCCACCACCAGTAAAAATTTATAAGAATAATTATTTGTATTTTTAAAGAATGTTAGCAGAGCCTAAGGATGTGAACATAGGAAGCACAAATTCTGCAAGTGGGTCACTGGGCATGATGGGGTGAGAGAAGCCATTTCAACTTCTCCACCTTGGTTTCCAGACTTACGTATTTCAGTTATTGGATACACAGCATTGGCTCAATG